TTTGGATGATATATTGCAAAATTCGGTCGGTTAGTTACTATACGACGTGACAAAGATGGCCGCCAGGCGAAAATCGATAATTTTTCGTATTAACTTACATACTCCGTAGCGCTCCAGCCCCTGTTGAGCTTTGGCTGACTCGACGACTTGCCTCCACAAGCTCCGTGCTATTTTCGATGCCCAGTTTTCTCAGAGCAATGTTGTCCCGCCATCTTAGTCTGGGTCTTCCAAGTTGCCTTTTCCCCTCTGGGGACCTTTGAGGAGCCTTTCTTCGGGTTGCCTACGCACGTATCCTGCCCGTCTCACGTGTATATGTCTCTCAGCTCTGCATTTGTTTTACTTCTGTATTGCTGCGTTTTGGGTTCTTTGTCGGGCCGTATATTTTCCCAAGTATTTGCCTTTCGAATCTACGGATGACCTCCTCATTTTGTAGCATAAGCGTCCACGATTGACATCCATACATGATGACAGGTCTGATGACAGTTTTCTATACTTTGATCTTGGATCTTCTAGTAACGTTTTTGGACCCAAATATTTTCTAAAGGACATAATCGCAGTTATCTGCAGTTTTTAGTCGTTGATTTATTTCTTCGCCCATGTCATTGTCGGCTGTGATGATCGAAGGTAACTTCAACTGCTTGACGTTTTCAAAGCTGTACTCATTCATTGTCACATTTTGTCCCACTTTCCCTCTGCCTGTCCTAGAAGTATGCATTTAGTCTTGCCTTTGTTACGCTAGTTTCCACTACGTCAATATCGGCCGCATAAGCAAGTATTAGTTGCGAATCATTCGTTTCGAAGAGCTCTGTTTCGAGTTTGGAGTCCCTTACCACCTTCTCCAAGGCAATATCGAAAAGAGTCAGGGACAGCGCTTCACCCTGCGTCAATCTCGTATTTACCCTGAATACGCCCAACATATCACTCCCAACTTTCACTCTGCACCTGGAACCTTCTACACAAACTCTTGTTAGTCTTAAGCCGGTCCCAGACACTACGTGTATTCGGCGAATAGGCGAATATTCGTTATTCGCACGAATATTTGCTTAGTCTCCCAGACGGCGTTGTGGTATGGCGAAGCTTTGGCTTGACAATTGTTCGGCGAAGTTTCCAAGCAGAGGGCCGTCGACTTTCAGTGGCGTTTCATGCATGACGTTTGTTTAGTTCAAATGGACAGTGATGAAGAGCAGATTGGGTCGCCGCTACCTGTGTCATTTTCAGCAGGTATCTTTGGGTTCCAAATGACAGAGTTTCATTTTCAAATAATTGTAAAAATTCTAACGTTAATTCATTGGTCCACTCCATTTCTTATTTTAATTAAAAATTACTAAAAATGCAAAAATCAACCTTGCGGCACTGCACACCGCTGTAAACTGACAAAAAACTATGCATATACCCCCGAAGCGTCTGGGAGCAGTGCGAAGTCACACATAGTGGACTTCGCGTCACTTCGCCTTCCTTTGCTTCGTGCCAGTTTACCGACAATCGGCGGGAGAATGACGAAGGACGAATATTCGCCAAAGTTACCCTCCCACCTGCTACGCGAATAAACCCGAATACCGAATATTCGCCGAATACACGTAGTGTCTGGGACCGGCCTTATAATTTTACGAGGCATGCCGAATTCTGTCATTGTCTCCCAGATCTCAACTCTTTTCACACTATCATAGGCCTGTTGGAAGTCTATAAACTGTTGGTGTATCTGCCTATTGAATTCCCAGATTTTTCCTAGTAGTTGTCTAATTATGAACAGGGTTGTTAATCGGTTTGTCCGAAAGCCGCACTGATAGTCTTCTATTATCTCCTTATGCATGGGGTTATTCTCGATAGGATTACATTTGATAGAATTTTGTATGCTAAGTTTATGAGCCATATTTTGTAAAATTGGGAAACTTAGGGATGATGTTACAAAGACTATGTGTTTCGTTTCACTAGAAGCATAGTACCGTTTTTCATGGTATCGTTAGTATAGTGGGAATCATTGCAATTGGCACATAATCTTTCCACATCCCTCGTATTCAGTCAAAATTCTAACCAGAAATCTATTCAGTGCAGCAGTGTACGTAATATTTTATTATTATTTTTATTTATTTATTTATTGAATTAAAGTTTTACAAAACACCTAACAAGAGGTAATTATATCATAAGACTAGTGACCAAAGCCAGAAAGTGCTCAGGTTCATAAAAAAGTAAATTACACAAATCACAATAGCAGCTTAAAATTAATTAATACAAAGTATAACACCACATCAACACATTCTATCTATCATTTTTTTAAATAAAACATAAATTAAAATAGAATCAATAAAGAACAAAGCAAACACATTAAAATACATCAATAAGTCAATAAAATACATCAAATAAATCAATAAAAAAAGCCAAGTGGCAAACCATGTCAATATTTTTATATCAAGTTATTATTATTTTAATACATAATATGACAGTACAACATTGCCCCGCAGGAGCGTAACATGTAACATACCAAATCAACATATTAAGAAATCAAGAACCAAACTTAACGTATATCATGAACTAAACTTAGCAATAAATTGCTGAGCATATATAAATATTTTCATCCTTTAACAGTTAATTAAAACCATTATGTTCACCTCTGATCTATCAATTTGACATTACCTGTGTGTCAAAGAAGTAAAATAGGGGGATGTTATAACGCGCAGTTATAGTGCAGCAAAATCATCTGAAATAGCGGAAACGACGCTAGAACAGGAATAGCTACCAAATTTTACAAAAAATCATCCAAATAATGGATCCTGTCTTTATGTTTGAATAAAATTTGTATGATACTGCCATTTCCACCAACTAATTTAAGGAAGCTTTAACAATAATTATTCCTTAAACTGACATTTCTCCATGCGTCATTTTAAGGTATACTTATCATTAAAAGGCTTCCCTAGAAGAGTTGGTGGAAACAGCCATTAGTCCTCTTGATCTACGATTTTCACCCGGCAGCCATCTTTCTGACGTCGTAACGTTACTAAATTACCAAATATTACAAATTATCATCCCAAACATTGATTCTGGCTTTATGCTGAATCAAAATTAGTAAGATGCTTTCACTTCTTACAAATTAAATCACACTTAAAATGGTTAATTAAGATTTTCGCCGGGCGGCCATCTTTGTGACATCAAAACGTCACTAAGTTACCGAATTTTACAAAGTCTCATACCAAACATTTATCCTACTTTCATGACAAATCTAAATTTGTAGGTTACATTTACTTACTCCCCAGAAAAAAAAACCAAACTGTCCAATTTTGGCCACTTGGCTCAACGCTTTAATTAAATAGAGCTTCAACTTGAGAAATGTCCAAATAATAATTTTCGCCTCTATAATGCCTACACTTTCACACACCAGGGACATCTAAAACCGAAGCGGGGTTTTGTGTATGGACTTTCAATAGAACTTCAGGGAGGTTGTAAATAAAGGATTAATAATACAATGCCCCCGAAGGGGTAAATGCTTAAGTTATTTTATCGATAATAAGAGGTAGGTCTTATGGCCCTTTGTGTCGATACATGAGGCCGTAGACAAGTTCCTTACTTTATTTAAGTGTTTTCGTGTACCTCCAAAGAGTTCATATTATATTTTTACGTATCATAACATATTAATCTATTTATATAATATATTCCTACACACGGCACGCTTGTTACACCTTCATTCTTGCGATAATAAGCCTAGTAATTATACAAAAAATTCCCACTTAAAACTACCAAACCCACCGTAGTCGGTATAATATTTTAAATAATAGAATCCATTCTCTTCGTTTTTTTTTTTTTTCGATTCATAATTACCAAAAACTATTCTTACAATAGCTACACCCTCGGCTACACCGTAATTATAATAGTAAAACTCATTATTGCTTTCCGAATACCATTTTACGGCTTATGGCTAAGGCCGGGCTCAGACCACTCGTGTATTTGGCAAATATTTGTTATTGGCGTATATTTACTTGCCATGTTGTGTGAGTGGTTCACTTGTACTAATTTCTCATTCGTGGCGTTTCCATTTTGCGTCGGTCGGTTAAAATGGTCGGAGTCAAAGAAATCACAATTATTCGTTTACTTGCCGAGTACAGACTTGTCTATACTTGTTGAGGCGCTCAAACGAAATTCACAAATAATTTTACTTTTGGTCCATAATGGCTGCCACTATTCCATTCATTTGTCAAGGTTTTAGCCAAATGTTCGTGCTTGCGTACTTGTTAATTCTACACCTCGCGTGATTTACAAATACTTGCCAAGTAAGCAAATATTTGTGTTTGTGTACTTGCCCAGTACCTACACGAGTGGTCTGAGCCGGGCTTCATTTTTTAAATATGTCCAGATTCTACAAGGAGTTTCAGAAAGTTTTTTTTGGTCAGATATTTATCGTTGTTATACACCAATTTTTATAACTATTCAGTATAGGAGTTTTCCCTACATATTATTATGCACCTATAAAGAATGGCGTATTATTATTGACTTAATTATTGTAGAGAGATATGAATCAATTAAAAATTACAGATTGGAAAATATGTACAAATAAGGACACTCTTAGGTATTAGGTAAAATATAATATAATAAAACGCATCTCAGTATCCTAGTTAAAGTATTATTTTGAATAAATAATGCACTTATTTTTCTATACTTCGTAGCTAGGGTAAACCACCCATTTATTGGACACTTTGGCATTTTTTTTTAATTCGATAACGTGTCCAAATTTTATTTTCAGGTCTACGGACTTGAGCAAATATCTAAAATGACACTTATTATATGGCCTTCAATTATCTTTATTGATATTAACTGTTCGATGGATATTTTTTTTTTACAGGCAAATAACAAATTACATGACAAAAAAATTAGTTATTGGACATTTTTTTTAGTGATTGGACAAAATCAATTTAGTTATTGGACATGGAAACTATGTGTTATTTTTCTTTTATTCAACACAAAAAATGACTATTATTATCAGGTTACAATACGATTTTATCATTCTTATCTATCTAATAATATTTGGCACAATTTATACAAAGAGAATAATTCATCTCCTCCTCATTTTCATCAGTTTTCTTCTTTTCGTCTGAATTTGTATCATTTAAATCATTGTCGTTTTTGTTTTGATCTATTTCCAAGCCACCTTCCTCTTCATTCTCATCAAAATCTTCACTATCGGCTCCATCATCGCTTTCCTCCTTGTAACAAAGGTGACACATGAACAGATCATCATCTTCTAGGTAGGGAACGTGGTTTTTGTGTTTCTTGGGAACGCAGTGACGATGGATATATTTTTTGCAACCATCACATTTAAAGTAGTGGCTATTTTTAAATAGTTGTTTTGTGCATACAAAACAATTGCCATTAGTTATACCATCAGCTGACTTAAGAACTCTTAGTTTCCAAATTTGCTTTGGCTGCAGCCTTTTCTTCTCTTAATCGTTTCCTCTCCAATTTCTCATTCTCTTCTTTTAATTTAAGCGCGCGTTTGGCTTCAAAATTTTCTTGGTAAGATCTAGAAGTTATGGCAAACGAAACGCGCTCTACATCGCGCTTGTTCTTTCGCTAGGGTTTGTCTGGCATCGTAAGGAAATCACTGATACATCTTTTACTTGTTGATGGTAATAATGAAGTAGCTGCATCAGTAATATTATTATCTATTGAAGGTGTCTTCAAAGTTTAAGGCAATTTTATATTTCCAAAATTATTACTTGCAATATCAGTTGAATTCACATGTAAAGGCCTAGTTTTTGGTTCTGATCTGCCTCCTGGAGTATGAATAAATATACTAAAGGGATCTGAAGTTTCACAATCCCCAGTGATTTTGGAAAGTTTGGCATCACTTTGTATATTTTTTGATGGACCGGGCTCTTTTAATTCAACTAACGCTTCTGATCTAGTACTGGCCTCTTCCAATTCACTGGAATGTTCTTCGTTTTTATACTCCATAACTTCCATGTTAACTGTCTCTATGGCATTGTCTTCGTTATCAGGCTTTCCGAAATAATTCCACATTTGATGAAGTATAAGGAATTCATTGTTCAATCCTTCTTTAACTAATATTGCATCAAATAATTTGAATTTTCTTATAAGCTCATTCCCTATGAAGTTGGTAAAAGTTTTAATATCCATTGTATCGGGATGGGCATGCGTCTCCTGAAAATTTTAACAAATCACGCGTGAAACTCAAGTGGAAGAGATTACAAGAAAGCTACTCACATCCGGCACAGGTTTATTAACCTTCCCCAAACACTTTGAATAATCTATTGCATTGGGATTGAAGGGAAATAATCCACATGCTTTAAATCCATTTAGAAGCATCTCTGGCTTAACAACATTCTTCACTACCGTTTCTAAAAGTGGAGCGAAGGTCATTTTGTTAAGAACTTGCCCTGGACTGCTTTCATAAAATTCCCTAACAGCTTTCTTCCAGCCAATTTTTATAGGTCTAAATACGGCAACATCACATGGCTGCAAAATTCTAGTTGCATTCGGATACAAAGCAATAACTTCAATATTCAATTCATTGCAGAGAAGGCTAAGTTCATAAGTCAAGTGGGACCTATGTCCATCCAGAAATAATATAACAGGAAAACGCACATTGTTTTCAACTAAATGCGGATGAAATATGTTTTTTATGTAATCATAGAATGTCTCTGAAGTCATCCAACCATTATCAGATCGGCCTATTCCCCAAGTGGAATTAACTGTTGCTACTATTTTTTCAGGAATTCTTTTGTATGGGTAAATTATCATTGGGGGGCATGTCATTCCAGAGGCAGAAAAAGAGAACATAACAGTAAGATTTTCCTTTAGAGAGCCTTTATCTACAGCATAAACGTTTTTTACGCCTTTTCCAGCAAACACTTTACCAGTGCTCGGGCAGATTTGGAACCCTGTCTCATCCCCATGATATATTCGAGAAGCATCGTCTATATTTATGTTTTTAGACTCCAAATAACCTCTTATCTCATCGAACCATTTTCTGATGTCTGCTTCTGATACACAAGCACTTGCTGAACTAACAGCTTCGCTAGTTCTCTGCACAATTGTGGGATGCCTTCTTAGGAAAGCCTAGGTAAATGGGTGAAATTAAATTATTGAAGAAACCAAATGGCATTAAGTTGTATGTGTACCTTAAACCAACATTCACCAGGTCTGTGATTTTTAAACGGATTGGGTCGTGGATTCTCTATCAAGAATTGTTGAACACTATTTAAAATGTCATCTTTTTTTCTTGAGAATCCACGATTTGCAAGTTCTTCTATCCACCTAGAGGGAGAGATTTTGAATTCAAATACAAATCAATATAAATACAGTGTTGCCAACTATATGAATGGCCATTTTACCAGATTATAAAACTTGGAATACCAGAATATTACTAGATTTCTCTCAATCCTGCCAATACCAGAATATTACTAAGTCTTTGTTGCTAAACAAAAATTGTGCTAAAATTTTTAGATTTCAATTATCTATTCTAAGTACCTATTTTTTGTTTGTTTTTTTGTTAGGTTTAAAATAAAAATGTAATAACAACAAAATCTAGTATGGAAAAATAAAATTCAGATAAAATAACACTGCATACCTAATACACAGGATATACCTATGAACAAATACATTATTGTAAAAAAAATCCATTCTGTATAACATAACATTACAGATATTGGTAAAGATACTTAGGCACGGTTTGTTCATCTTCAGATAAGCTCCCTGGTAACTACCTGCAAGATAAGTGCACCGTTCTATAATTCTATTGGTCGGCGGATAACTGGCCAATCAATGGGATAACAAATTTCGTTTTTATATGGGTCAGATTGCATACCTGACAGTTTATCAAAAGATGAATAAACCGGCCTTAATAGGTATATTGGTAACCTTCGGCATAACTATTTAAGACTAGTCTCCATAGAGGCGAAATAGCGATTCTTTTTGCGGATTTCTTTCCTATTGGTTAAAATTTCACATTCAAATGTCCAATGTCAAATTCTAACATGTAAAAATGTCACTTGAAACGTTGATTATCGTTAAACCTCCTTCAAAATGGACGGTGCAAATGGCCATAAATTCAGGTCTATAAGCCTAGCAGTCCCAAGTCCCAAGGTGGAAAAAAAACTTCGGGAATTATATAATAATTAGGTGCTTTTTAGGTGCTAATTAGAGTCTCTAATTAAAAATTAGGTGCTCCTTTAGTTTCTGAGAAAATCAAAAAAAAACTAAGGGAATGCTATAGGTTTATAAAAGCTAGCAGTCCCCTATAGTAAAAAATATTTTTAAAATTAATTAAATCAATTAAAAAAAAATCTGTAACTCAGTTAATAATTAATCAATTCTATTTTTTCTTCGACTATTTAGGAGCACCTAAAAAGCACCTAATTCTGATACAAAATAAATTTTTGGAAAAATATTTTTCACTATAGGGGACTACTAGCTTTCATTAACCTAGCAATCCCTTAGTTTTTTTTGATTTTCTCAAAAACTAGAGAAGCACCCTATTTTTAATTAGAGGCCCTAATTAGCACCCAAAAAGCACCTAATTATTATATAGATCTCGAAGCTCTTTCGTCATTCTGACACACCAACTTGTAAACGTAAAGCCAGCAGTCCCCTTATAATTAAAAAAAAATCTGTAACTCAGTTAATAATTAATCAATTCTATTTTTTCTTCGACTATTTAAGAGCACCTAAAAAGCACCTAATTCTGATACAAAAGAAAATTTTGGAAAAATATTTTTTACTATAGGGGACCACTAGCTTTCATAAACCTAGCAATCCCTTAGTTTTTTTTTTGATTTTCTCAAAAACTAGAGGAGCATCTAATTTTTAATTAGAGGCCCTAATTAGCACCTAAAAAGCACCTAATTATTATATAGATCTCAAAGTTTTTTCGTCATTCTGACACAACAACATGTAAACGTAAAGCCAGCAGTCCCCTTATAATTAAAAAAAATCTGTAACTCAGTTTATAATTAATTAATTATATTTTTTTTCCGACTATTTAGGAGCACTTAAATAGCACCTAATTCTGATACAAAAAAAAAAAAAAAATTACTAAGTCTAGGGGCTGCTAGCATTCATAAACCTAGCAGTCCCTTAGTTTTTCTTGATTTTCTCAAAAACTAAAGGAGCACCTAATTTTCAATTAGAGGCCCTAATTAGCACCTAAAAAGCACCTAATTATTCAATAGTTCCCGAAGTTTTTGAATCCAGTTATTGGCCTCCCCTGGATTCGAGCCCAAGAAAACATATCGGGCCAGTAAAGCTGTAAATCTTACCTTTTCATATAAGTGAATACACATAAAATATCAGGTTTTAATACACCTCTGCGATTTATACTAAATTAGCACAATAATTACGCACAAACGGCCTTAACGAAATTAAAAAAATACACCAACTTCTTACACCTCCATGGAATATCAAAAAACGCGGGAAATAAAAAGCTGCGCACGCCTTTGTCGTTATTGTCAAAACTTGTCAAATGTATGGTAGTGCCATCTCTGAATAGTCAGAAGAACTAAAGGTTCGTCGGAATCTTGTTTTTGGGTATTAGATTAAAACTGTCCGATAACTACCACATGTCCAATAACTGGGTTGTTTACCCTATGGCAATATTGAACAGAGAAAACGGAAATTTTCAAAACGGTGAAGTGCATTTCCATAAAAAATTATGTTGTTGAATCATGAGCCGCTCCAACAACATTTTATTTATACTCTAAGCCGTTTTTATTACAGCTATTTCTATATAGGAATAGATGAGAAGCTGCTGTAAAGATTTAGTTTAAAACTTATCAAAACTTTATTATATCAATTTTATCCTTCGATTTTCCGCCCCATCATTCAGCACCCATACTCTCATTCCTGTGTACTCCTCGATAAATCATAATAATTCATTTATAGAAAGAGTTTTCATCTGCCTACTCAAATATTTTTACCTATAAGTATTTCTAAAAAAGTTGTTGGAACATATCTTGGAAAAAACGCAAGTGTTTAAGCAAAGTTTCAACACACTGCTAATACTCATACGCTCATACGAAGGTTTGTATATTTCTCTGACACGCCATACGTGTGGTTTTGCTTTATAAGACAATGGAGATTAATTGAGAAACCCAAATTTTCAATCATTGGGTACTGGCGCCAATTGCTGACTGGTCAGTGCAACATAATCGAAAGCATGTCAACTCAGAGAAGGTTTGAAGGAGATTTATACGATAAGAAAGATATAGACCTTTATTAGCGTGTGGCTCCCTCTCTTCGAAGTCCTACAAAGCAAAAACCAAAAATGACCCGTTTGGGCTTAGAATGTTGAAAAATATAAAATAAAATAAAAATTTTCAAGGAAAGATGATATGCCCTCTGTAAGGAAAAGTTAGAATCAGGTTTTTTTTGTTCAATTCGTCAAAACTAAGAGTGTTTTTTTTGTATATGTATTTATGTTTAGTCTTCGATTACAAAAAGAAGAAGATTTTGTGAAGGAATTATGGAATATTTATTTAGCACCGAAAAAGATAATTTTAGATCTATATGCGCCCCAATTTTTTTCTTCACTATAGGAATAGTAGGTTTATAGACTTCCAAATCAAAAACAGTTTCATCTTATTTTAATGAAATTATTTGTTGTAGTGAGCCTGATTAATATCAATACGAACATCAAGGTCCCTCGCGTTCAGCCCTTCAAGAGAAACGTTTTACGAATACAATTTAAATCGAAAATAAATAAATAAATGACTTATTGCGAATCCCTCCACCTCTCGCTGATTATAAATTAAAGAAAAATAGCTGGAAGTAATTAAAAAGCTCCGGCATGGGATGGAGTGGAATGGCTGGCTGGCTGGAAGAATTTGACGGCACAAAATATACTGATTAATTAAATTTATTAGGGAAGCAGGTGCGCAGTGTAGTTCGGCTATTACTAAAACGCGAATGTTCGCTGCTCCCTCTTCTGGAGAACCCCGGATGGCTTCTTATTATTACGTATATTGGGCCCAGCCGTTTCTTGGCCAGAGAAGCATCCTGATATTTTAAAATTACGCCACTTAGGAACATGGATTTTGATTGCTGATGGTTAATTTAAATAATGATTTAAGGTTGAGTTCCTTTTAGAATTCTGACCCTAAACCCATCAAAACTCAACTTCAAATATAAACTGGGTTACTTATTAT